CTGCATGGTGGCCTTACAAACTCAGAGCCCTAAAATAACCACACAGGATGGTCTGAAGTGAAAACTTCAGTAAAATCGAGTCATGCCCTGGCCAGTGTTGCTCAGCTGGTTAAAGCATCAACCTGAGCACTAAACGCTGCAGGTTCCCTCCCCGGTCAGGGCACATATGGGAGGCAACCTGTCTATATTTCTCTCTCTCCCTCTTCCTCTAAAATTAATTTTAAAAATATGTATCTCCGGTGAGAATGTAAAAAAAAAAGTGGCATGTGGCAGGCAGTCACGCAGGAGGCTGGACTCTGCCCTGACAAAGGTCCTCCGGCCTTGGCTAAGCTTTGGCGTGTCTGCTGTCCTTTCCAGACTCTCAGGGCGCAGCCTCCCACCAGAAAGAGGCCACAAATCCCCTCCTTGTGCCAAGACAGCAGTTGACTGTTAACTGTCCTGCGCCCACATGAGTAACAGAAGGGCGTCCATCATTTTACTTTCATCCAGTCCCAGAGGTTCCCCTCCTTGCTCTCTCCCGCCTCCCTAACCTATCACCAGCGGATTTCCTGTAGCCCTCTTACGCCTGCCTTTGATTCTGGTGTATAAAACAAGTGGCAAAACTGCCATTTTCCGCATCATTTTCTCGATCCATTGAGGTTTTGCTTTCCGACAATTGTCGTCATTTTTGCTCATATAAACTCATACAAATTCTGACAGGTTTGGATTTACGTTAAAAACAGCAAGTGCTCAATAAACGCTGGCTATTGCTGGGAGGGAAGGCCCGGGCTCCAATTCCAGCCTTGGCCCTTGGCTATACCAGGAGCACAGGAATGGGGAGACTCCGAACCAATGAGACTCTGCGGAGCACTTGCTGTGTGCTGGGGAAGGGGGAGGTGTAAGAATGTACAGCCCGAGACGCCACAGCCACTGTTATCACAAGGAGAGACCCGATTTGCCAGACGGCCACTGGCTCAGCCCAAGCATGAAACAGCAGAAGGCAGTGCCACAGAACTGCATCCTCAGTGGCCTCCACCTGCAGACCAGCTCCCGGCTGCTGGGTGTTCCCGTTAAGCAGATCGATAGCCTTCATTTGTTTCAGCTCCCAGTTGCTGCTGTTTTAATCACTTGTAACATTAAATCGAGCTCTGGCACAGTCAGGGGGTGAGAAGTAAGCCGGGCTTTGAGGGACAAGCAGAAGGTTTGGAACAGACATTTTGTCACTCCAGCTAATCTTGAAGGAGTCACCAATGTGGGCCCTCAAATCCCCACCCTGGCAGCCTCTGCCTGGGAACAACTGTAACCTTGGAGCCACACAGGAGCCACCCCCATCCCCTGGAGTTATCTCATCTCCCTCTGGACACCGAGCAGTGTCCAGAGAAACAGACTGTGCCTTGGAAGGAGAGAACCTTGTCACTGGGCAGAGGGAAATCGTGGTGACTAAGCTTTTTTTCCAATCCTCACGTGAGGATATTTTTTCAATTGATTTTTGAAGAGAGTGGAAGGGAGGGAAGAGGAGGTAAGAGAGAGAGAGAGAGAGAGAGAGAGAGAGAGATTGAGAGAAACACCGATGTGAGAGACACATCCATTGGTTGCCTCCCACCCCCCACCCCGACCAGGGCCGGGGATCAAACATGCAACAGAGGTACATGCCCTTGACAGGGAATCGAACCCAGGACCCTTTAGTCCACAGGCCAACACTCTAACCACCGAGTCAAACTGGCCAGAGCATAAGTGAGCATTTTAACCATTTCAGGGAAATCTGAGAGCCCAGTTTCTCCTGGCCCTCGGTGCCGGGTGCTGTGGCAACTTTGGTGTCCTCCCCTCACCTAATGCAGTGACTCACTGTCCCTGGCATAACCACTTCTAGGTCACCATGGCAACTTCTGGCTCTCGTCTCTTTCCATCTTGACCACCAGCAGACTGTTACAGAGCAAAACTCTACTTGTTCCAATCATGCATCCAAGCTCTGGACAATGTCTAGTCTGANCTGTCTCTTTCCATCTTGACCACCAGCAGACTGTTACAGAGCAAAACTCTCTCTACTTGTTCCAATCATGCATCCAAGCTCTGGACAATGTCTAGTCTGACCTTAGGGGCTACAGAGAGCCCCAAACACTCCACCACGGGTAGTGATAGGTTCGAGTTATGAAGGGCACATGCCTACCACACCAGAAATGCTCCCAGTGTCCCAAGGGCACTGAGGAGGAGGGACCACCAAGGGGGCTGCCAGGTTCAGGGCTGCCAGGTTCAGGGGGGAAAGTGTGGGAAATGTTCTGGAACTTCAGTTGTCCAGTCTGGATGGAACACAGGTGCAAAGGGCAGGAGTGGGAGACAAGTGTGGTCAAATGCTGGCAGGCAGGGCAAGATGTAGACTGAGCCCTGTGGCACCAGGAACTCAGGGAGCCCCTGGAGAGCCGGGTAGGGTGTGGCAGGACCAGCCCTGTCTTTGATGAGACGAGGCAGCTGTGAGAATAAGAATCCATCAAAAGAGGACACCAAGGCCAAGGACGCGTTAGGATATTCTAATGGTCTAGGACCTAAATGAAGAAAGTGGAAATGAGTAGAAAGACAGGAAAGGCCTGGAGAGCCACAGACTCAGTGGATTCGGGGCCTGGCAGGGACGTGTTGAGTTAGTAAGTCCCAGATGGAGAGAGCAGAGGCTAGCAGCTTGGCACACACACTAACTCTACCCCACGGCCTTGAGGGCTCTAATGGAACTGTTCTTTACCCACGCACTGAAGCCACGCCTGCTGGTTTTCCATCCAAGCCAAACCTCTTGACCTGGAGGCCAAGGTGGTCCATCGACAGGGCCCATGACCGGGGGCAGTGGTGAGAGCGAGAGCAGGGGGAGGGGGAGGATACTCCAGGCCTTGCTAAGCTTTGCTGAGTCTCCAAAGACCAAGTGAGCACAAGTGTTATTAAGAAACATTCACAGAATCCGTGTGGCATCAGCACCGAGCAGGCCTCTCCTGCACAGCAGCAGGCGAAGGGAATTCCTGCCCGGGAATGCAGTTGTTAGCCCTTTCTTGTACCCATAGCAAAGGGAAGGAAGCGGGCAGGACGGCCTATCATTGGTGCTACCCCCAAGGTCGGGCCTGGACGGGCAGCCCCTCCTCTTGCCCACACTGCCTCTGCTTGGAGGGATGCCAGCAAGCATGGCCCTGTCCAGGCAGAGGGGTGGCGCTCACACTGGTTTTATGGGGGCTGCACTGCAAAGCAGCAACTCTGAGGACAAGGTGAGCAACTCTGGCATTTTCTTGCTGCCGGGGCATTTGCAGTGGCCCCACCTCCAGCCAGGCCAAAGTGACCCTGTGGGGCTCTGTGGTGACTTCCTCTCTTCCTCCCACCACTCACCATCAGCAGTAATCCAACCCTGTAACCAGCTAATTCATATCAAAAATAGGAAAAAAACAAAAGGAGGCCAGACACTGTGAGCATGCTCACCTGGGCCGCTTCACCTGGAAGCTGCAGCTTTAAACTCCCCAGGGACCCCTGGTCCATTCCCTGCAGATCACTGGGGGAAGGGTTCCAACAAAGGAGGAAATGGATGCATGGGCAGTGAAGTTGGGGTGACACAGGGAAGGTGCTTGCCTGTCAGTCTAACCTGGCAAAAAGATAACTGGCTAGAGGGGGTGGAGCCACTGCAAGAGCACGAAATCCTGAAGGCTTCATTGGATAAGCTCCTAGTTAAAATCCGCAAACAAAGGAATTCTCTCTCATTTCTCTTCCTTCGCTCCTGCTTCCTTGCACTGGCTTGTTCTGCGCCCCGAGCCAGCCTGCCATGCGACCCACGTGCAATGGACTGCAGCTGGGAACACAGCTAAGCTGGCCAGACGCTGGACTGGACTGGGCTTTAATATGGAGCAGATACTCTAGGAAGTGGCTTTAATCCTGGCCCTGCTGAAGATAAGATTGGACTTTTTCCATGGCAGAGGGAGACGGGACCTTGGAGGGGACTCCCTTAATGTTACATCACCAATAAGGCTTTCCAAGATACCTCAACTTCCCATGGGGGTCTTGGGAAATTCTTGTTCTCGTGGCACTCCAAGGACTCCACTTCTACCAGCTATAGGTGGGGACACAGAGGACACCCTACCAATAACACAGTCACTGAGGGAAGACAGTCCAGGGCCCTCACCATGGCCCAGGGGGCCCAGATTACTGCCCCGGCCCCAGCTTCCCATAGCACCAAGCAGGGTGCTGTGTACTGAACACGGTAGGACCTTCCCCTGCCGCCTGGATGCTCCCCACATTCTGTGTTTCTCCTTGGTGGTGGCTACTTCCATTTTGCTCCTTACCCGATTCCATTCATGCAGGCCGGGACAAGCAGAACTGAGGGCACAGCTCCCAGAATCTCTACAAAATACTGCATTTCCTAACATACAGTCAGCAATGACAGGGTTAACGAAGTGCAGTCTGGAAAGCGGTAGGGACAAGGAGCTAACTTCCCCCAAAGAAAGACCTAAGGCTGGACCCCTCCAGAGGTCAGGTTCCTGGCCTGAGATGGCCCAGTGAGGCCAGATGCCTCCTGGGGCCTGAGCTGCTCAGCTGCCCGCAGGGGGCCTCATCCGATTTGGGCGTTGACCAGATAGTGGGGGAAGCAGAAGGGAGTTCCGATGGGCCTCCTGCCAGCAAGAGCCCCCTCCTCAGAGAGGAGGCAGTGGCCACAGCAGAAAAACAGCCTCTGTGAACACCCAGCGCTGGTACCCAACCAGCTGCCCGTTCTGATTCATGCGACAGCGCAGGGGAGGAGTATTATGCTCAGCAATTCATGCCTTGCCTCCTGTGGCCCGAGAGTGAATCCCAGAGCTGATTACTATCACTGTCAAAGCTGTTATTTCACAAGGTGTGTATAACCTGAGTACTAAGCAAATCAAAAGGCATTTTACAACCAGCGCAAAACGCACCCTTTTGGACTCATCCTCTGGCTTTGCGGCTTGCCCGCCTCGCCTCTTCCTCAGCATCACTGAAAGCAGGTGCTGGGGACAGAGGTACACTTCCAGGGACTTCCAAAGGTAGCTTCCGTTTTTAATTATCCAGCAGGAGTGTCCTCTCAGGACAATTAATTTGGGGGGTTAATGCCACAAAAAATCATCATCCCCAGAAAAAGGCAACACGTGACCCTGTCAAACAGAGCCCAGAAATTCTCTGCGTCTGCTGAGGTGGGGTGACGCGCTTTGTGAAGCAGATTTAAACCCAAGTCTGGACGCCTGGACGTGGGGCCCCAGCCGCTTTTCCGCTCTGCCAATCGGCCTCGGTCCCCCCCCCCCAGGTCTACCCTCNCCTCGTCCCCTCCGCGGAGCCCGTGACCGCGGCCAGCGGAGAGCCGGGCCAGCTCCGGGCCCCTTCACACACTCCGAAACCCAGCAGGGCCGGGGCTCTGCCGCCACGTCTCCCCAAAGCCAGAGCGGGACGAGGTCCCGGGGGCAAGGCTTGTCGCCACCTCTGACACCCGCCTCGGCCCGAGTCCAGGACCCGGGCTCCCCGGCGGCTGGTGCAGGATCCGCCCTTACGGTTGGGAAATTCCCGTCACGGGCAGTAAAAATGAGGCTGCACGGGGGCCAGCGCTGCGCTGCCCCTCCCGGCGCTCCGGCCCGNGCCAGAGGGCCTGGCCTCGCCGAGCCCCGGGCCGCGGACGTTCCGGGCGCCCTGCCCTACGGCCTCCGGGGGAGCCTGAGCGGACACTGCTTACCCCCGAGTGGCCGCCCCGGGGGGGCTCCCCCCTGCAGGGACAGGGGACAGGGGGCGCGGGGCGCGCCGGCGAATTCCAGCCGGGCCACACTCACAGCCGGCAGGGGTCGTGGAAGGGCAGCGCCAGCCAGGCGCCGGGCAGCTGGCGCAGGAAGTCGTGCATCTCCTGGGCGCTGCGGTCGGCGGACACCAAGACCACGGCCAAGGGCGCGGG